GTAGAATTTTTCTAGCTTTCCTCTCGTATAATTCTTTTCGACATACAACAATTCTTTCTCGAACTTTTAGCTGCTGGAATACCGGATTCATCTTGACCTCAGATGCACAGATCATGCATCCATGCATTGACGTCACAGTACATCATTGCAGCACTGATTTCACTGTGAAGTGTGAACATGGGTCAATGCGCGATAAAAGGATGAACGTGATTTCAGCGGGAAGTGCGCTAATTGGTCACATGTTTTCAGCGGGAAGTGCGGTAAGTGGTTAATTGTTTCCAGCTGGAGATGAGTGGATTGGTTAATTGAAAAACAACCAGTTATTCCGAATTCAACTATTACGAAAACCCTATAAAAATAGATCCTCGGTACCTTGTCAAGCCATTGTGTGGTTGTCCGCCACCACCCCTGCTCAGGATGGAACCCCTTCGGAAGAAACCTCGTCAGTCTTTTGATGTAGTGAGATCATCTGATCTGTTGCAATTCTTTAGTTATTGTCCTGATCAAGAGTTTGCAGATGTACTAAAGTTTTTCTCTCATGTTCTACCGTCGCTGGAGCTGCTTCTTGAAGAGAATATTGAGCAATGGGGTCAGTACAAGTGTTCTTTGGTAGTTCAGGTGGTGATGCAGAAGCTGAATCCTGCTACAGGACAAATGGTTTCCAACACATTCTTCTTCCGATCGAGTACAACGCTGGTGCTCAACACCCTGGAGCTGAGGGACCTTCTCAGTAGGATGATTGCTCAGATCAACGCTCGTCTTGATGATTTCGTTCGTCATGGATCAGGTTGGGTAGTTGAACGGATTTCCTGTTTACACATCGAAATGTCACGCTATTGTGTACTTGGAGGAAGTTCGTACATCCCCTTGCCACCGGAGTTGAAGTCGAAGAAGGCCATTGTTAACGTGCAGAACACTGACAACAAGTGTTTACTGTAAGTATAGCAGTGGGGTTTCAGTGTGGTGATACGGTGTATGGATTGAACTGTATGCCGCCTGTCCATGTCTTATGTCATCCGTACTTTAGATGGTCAATACTGGCTGCTAAATTTTCGGCAGACAAGTCTCATCCATGTCGTCAATCGTCGTACGCAGAACATGCGGATACTGTGGATGTGAGCGGCATCGAGTTTCCAGCAAAACTGGAAGACATACCAGTCATCGAAAGACTGAACGACGGTCTTTACATCAACGTCTTCGGATATGAAGAGAAAGTCATATATCCGTTAAGAATTTCTCAGCAACCGCAGACCGCCATCAATGTATTGCTCATCCAAGACGAACGCAATGACGTGGAGGTGCAGCACTGGGTGTGGATAAAGTCATTCAGTCGTCTTGTTGCTACTGGAGCACGTCGAGCACATTTTGTCTGCTTCAGATGTCTCTCAACACACGTCACGGAGAAGGCATTGAATAATCATATGATGTACTGCAGTGAACATCCTGAAGCTACGGTGGAGATGCCAAAGGCTGGTGATAGAGTGATGTTCAGGAATGTGAACAAGCAGCTTCAAGCCCCATTTGTAAGTAGAACACTTAATCAAGGTGAACACACTGTGGTCTGTTTTTTTTTTTTTTTTTTTTTTTCTTTTCTTTTCTTTCCTGCACATGTTTCTTGACTCTGATTGTTCACCTTTCTGCTGTTTTACTCGGTGTTGTCTCTGCAGCTATTCCTAATTCTCTATCTGTCTTTTCCGCTGTTTTACTCGGTGTTGTCCCTGCTGCTATTCCTACTTCTCTCTCTCTCTCTCTCTCTCTCTCTCTCAAATGCAGGTGATCTATGCCGATTGTGAGGCCTTCATAGAACCTCTGTCCGCTGTCAAGAAAATCGGTCATTCGACATTCCAAAAGAACAAGCATGTAGCCTGTTCCTGTTCGTACATTGTAGTACGATCTGATGGCGTCGTCACGAACCGTTTCTTCTACCGTGGAGAAGATTCTATGTTCTGTTTTCTGCTGTCACTTGAGCAAGAGGAGGAGATTATCCGTGATGAGCTTCTAGCATGTAATGCTGGTCAAATGATCATTTCAGAAAGTCAGCAACGTGAATTTGAAACGGTAGTCTCCTGTTGGATCTGTGGTGAAGCGTTGGGTAGCGATCGTGTACGTGGCCACTGTCACATCACCGGTGCTTACCGTGGTGCAGCACACAACCATTGTAACCTGAACATGCGGATTGAGCCGTTCAAGATCAAGATTCCTGTGATCTTTCATAACTTGAAGGGATACGATTCTCATCACATCATATCTGCCATTGGGAGAACATCCACTGATGAGATTACGTATGTGAACGAGAAAGGACAAGAACGGGTACGTTACATATGCGTGGTGTGTGTGTGTGTGTGTGTGTGTGTGCGTGTGCGTGGATCATGATGTTTTTCTAAGAAGGAAGATCATTACTATGTTGGTACTCATATTCACGTTTATATGATTGATATTCATCTTTACAGCTGCACCTTAAAACTGTGTCTCCTCTTTTTCTTTCTTCTCAGACCAAGCGTCTCGGTGCTATCAAAGTGGTTCCCATCAACAGTGAAAAATATGTCACATTCGGATGGAGACAGTTCCAGTTCATCGACAGCCTGGCATTCTTGAACACCTCCCTAGACCGGTTGGTTTCGGCTACACCACCAGATGCATTCGCCCTTCTATCCGCACGATTTCCAGACGAGGATGAACGCAAACTGTTGACACGAAAGGGTGTCTACCCGTATGAATATATGGGGTCGTACGACCAATTCGAAGAAACGCGTCTACCACCCAAGGATGCATTCCACTCAACGCTAACGAACACGGTGAGTAGTGTGACAGATATAGTAGATCTTTCTCTCTTTCTTTTTTCACCATCTTACTTCGAAGTACTAAAATAAGACAAAATGTGTTTGAACGCTTCCTGCAGCTTCATACTAAATAATTGATTGTGTGGGCGAACTACTAAAATAAGTTCGTTGATTTGTTTTTCTTTTTGGTGTACATTTTCTATTCCCTAGGGTATCAGTGATGAAGACTATGCCTATGCGCAAACAGTATGGACTGCGTTTGACTGTGAAGATCTAGGAGACTATCACGACCTCTACCTGGAGACTGATGTGCTGCTGTTGGCTGACGTTTTCGAAAACTTCAGAAGAACTGCTCACGCAACCTATGGATTGGATCCCGCTAATTACCTCACCTTACCGGGATTTGCCTGGGATTCGCTGCTGAAAATGACGAAGGTGTCCCTTCATCTCATTTCCGACATTGACATGTTCAACTTCATTGAGCATGGCAAAAGAGGTGGCATAAGCATGGTGTCCGCTAGACACGCCACCGCCAACAACAGATATCTATCGGAGTACAATCCAGACGAGCCGTCAAGCTTCATCCAATATTTAGATGCGAACAATCTATATGGATGGGCCATGTCTCAACCCTTGCCCGTGTCGGACTTCTGCTTTGAAGCAGTGACGGATGATCTTCTGGAGACGGTACTCGATCATCCAATGGACTCTTCGACGGGATACATGGTGGAGTGCGATTTAAGGATTCCAGATGGTGTGCATGACATGATGAATGACTATCCGTTGGCTCCTGAGAAGATGAAGGTGACACGAGATATGCTTTCTCCATATCAGACCCACATGGCAGAGAAACTAATGGTAAGTCATGGTCTATCTGGTGGATATGCTTGTATTAATCTTCTAAGGTTTGTGTATATCTATACTGTACTCTTGTAGGTGACCGGTTTGGAAGCGAAGAAACTGGTACCAAATCTACTGGTGAAAGAGCACTATGTTCTGCACTACAGAAACTTGCAGCAGTATGTGTCCTTGGGTGTGGAGATTACAGATGTGCATCGTGTGCTCTCCTTCACACAACACCCATGGATGAAGCCATACATCGACACTAATACTGACCTGAGAAAGCTATCAACTTCTGATTTCGAGAAAGACTTCTATAAGGTGGGTACTCCACATCATGTGTGTGTGTGTGTGTATTTAGCGATAGTGTGGGATCTAGTATGTACTGGAAGTGTGAATGACCTGAAGATAACAGTTTTCTTATTGTTGTTTTTCTTGGCTTTTTTTTTTTTGTATGCCTGTTTATCGTAGTTGATGAACAATGCTGTATATGGCAAGACCATGGAAAACGTTCGAAACAGAGTAAACATCAAGCTCATTCGTGAACAGGATGAAAAACCACGTCTCCAGAAAAGCATCAACAAACCTTCGTACATCCGCAGTGTAGCCTTTGAGAACGATCTGATAGCAATCGAGTTTGCCAAGACAAAGGTGACTCTCAATAAACCCATTTATGTGGGTACAGCCATCCTCGATCTGTCGAAGCACTTGATGTATTCCTTTTACTATGAAGTTCTCCTACCCCGCTATGGACAAAATGTACGTTTGCTCTACACTGATACTGATAGTCTGATCGTACATATTCAAACGGATGATCTGTACACCGATATGTCAAACAACATAACAGCCTATGACACATCCAACTATTCACCATCCCACCACCTGTACAGCACGGTCAACAAGAAGGTGGTAGGGAAGTTCAAGGACGAACTAGGTGGCAAACCCATCAAGGAGTTCATTGGTTTGCGGAGCAAGATGTACGCATACCGCTGTGAAGACAACGACGACAATGGCAAGCGTGCCAAAGGTGTGCAGAGAAGCGTGTTGAAAAACACCATAACCGTCGATGATTATCGAACATGTCTCGTCGAGGAGTCTCAGCTGAAGAGAACAATGAATGTTCTTCGAAGTCGACGACATTGCATTCACGGAGAGGAGCTACACAAGATTGCCCTCTGTGGATTCGACAGTAAGCGTTACATTCTGGAGGATGGTATCAACACCCTGGCATTCGGACACAAGGATATTCCAAAGCACTGAGGGATTTCCACACATACTAGAGCATATGTCATATCTTCTCATGAAATACATTGTAAATACTATGCGATTCATAATATTCACGTTAATCCAAAGCATGAGCTACATTGTACATATGAAATGCTAATACTTTTTGAGATCATTCACATCCTTCTTTGTTAACCAGGTATGGAATTTTTCGTCTTGATAACCCTTCCATTTGACGAGCCGACTGTTCTTGTTGTATTTCAACACCTTATCGAATCTCAATCCTGTGTGTCTGGCATGTTGTAGCTCAGCTCCATAGAACTGTCCTTGAATGACTTCTCCCATCAGGTCTTGAACACGATAGGTGTGGGGTACAGTGGGTAGGACATCGTTTACCACGAACACTTCCTCTGTCCAGTTGGGCGTGTACCCTTTCTCGAAATGACGTTTAGCCACAGCCAAACGCACATCATCGCCCACTTTGAATTTAGCTGGTGATTGCTTCGAGTGTACGTCTGCATCTTTTGGTTTTCCATCAAGAGAAGCTTTCGTGGGACTCATGCCGATACTGCGATGTTTCGAGCTGTTGTACTTGGCCATAAGCTGAGGAAGGACGTCAAGATACTGTGTCGTAGCTTTCTCCGTGAAATGGCGCCACATTCTGCCTTTCAGTGTTCTATTGAAGCGTTCCACCACCACGGCTTTTCCTTCGTTGTGGGTGCTGTACATGATGATGTTGTGATCCTTGACCCATTGCTTCATTGTTGCATTGTAGAACTCCTTGCCTTCGTCTACCCATAGTTTTTGTGGTACCCTGTTCGATGTTTTCAGGATCAGGTCGAATGCATCCCTGACAGCAGAGCCAGTTTTGGTTTTCAGGGGTACTGCCCAGGCATAGCGACTGTACAGATCGATGACGGTCAGCAGGAATTTGTAGTTCTTGTTGCTTCGGGCAAACCGTTGCATATCCACTAGATCGGCACTCCAGATGTGATCCACAGACCTGCTCTTCACCTTGCGTCTTTTGAAATGCACTCGTCTGGGTTTGTGCAATTCGTTAGCCAGTTGCGTGTGGAATGGTGTGGACTGCGACTTCTTCTTCTGTCTTCCATCATGAAGTGCTTTTTGCACTTTCGTATCCCACAAGGCTCCACCACCTCGCAAGGCACCTAAACTGAGAACCAGTTGATCGTTTTCCAGCTTTTCATCCTCATCGAAGACTCTTCGGAAAATTCGAAGTGCTTCATCCAGACCATATTTGGAAAATAGCTTTCCCATCAATATGGCATACCATCCACATACTGCTGTGCTTCTGTCTTGAACGGCTTGGGTGTTGGTGATGATCTTACAGTCTGCATAGGCTTCTTTAAAGAAATCGCACAGTGCAGGTTCAGTGTAATCTTGCTCCATAGTGTATAGACTGCGTCCGAAACTGTCAAAAACCAGGATCACGTTTTGCTCGCGACACACGGTCAACCAATGATGTCCACCTTCCGGTGCATCGTACACCGGTAGAACGTTGTCGGTGTTGACGATACAAAAGTCTCCATTGTTCAAGGGTGGTAAGAGGTCGTAACTTGTACACCCCACGAACCCTCCAACACCATTCAATCTTCCTTTAATGTCGGCACTGCTGAGAGGGTAGTCCATTCTTGATCATAGCCTGAAAATTTTCGCGCGCGCGTGATCACATTGAACGTCCACTCAGGATATCCTTGATGATACGAGTGATCCTGCTTTTATCCTTCAGAACCTCTTGAATGAATGATGCATCGTCCACCATCACCTTTTGTGCTCTGATCATGAAATGCTCGGGATGGATCAATTTTGCTTCAGTTGTTCTACCATACGTAGAACTCATATCGTTGAGATCTTGAAACTTGAGCTGCGATCCTGGTACAGCTAGCACTAGGGTGGCTAGTTCATGAATCTTTCGTTCTCATCGAAGGAATCCATCGACATGTTTGTGGATTCCCACCGCACCCGCTATGGTTGCAAACGGGTACCTGGACATGTAGATGCGATTCGTCTCGTTGACCAGAGTAGTGTAGTCGTTCATCGTCTGCGTCTTCAGGGCATCCGCAGCCGCTTCCACCCGACTCCTGAACCTCAGTCGATCTTCATCGTAGAGTTGCAGCAGTTGTGATCGGCTTGTGAAATAGTTGCTCTTCAAAAAGGTTGCCGGTATATTTGTATGTCGGAGGAAACTGTCCAGGATTTGTAGGATCCATCGGTCAAATTCGTGGTCTTGTAATAGATTGAAAGGCACTGATGTTAAAGGTGCCTTTCTCTTCTTCCTGACATCTGCAACGGAATCGCGAACTTGATCGGTAGTGGAATCATAGTTGAGTATGTTGGATGCAATCACATTTCTCACAGACGGGTAACTGATGTGATCGGGATTGTTTTTGAAGTGGGTGTCATATAGACGCTTTACTCGCGGATCAGCTTGCAGTTCCAACAGGGTGGAGGTGCTCAAACTGTGATCTGGCACTTGGGAAAGAACTTTCTTGACGCTTTTCAAGTAGGTATTGTAGTTATTACCTCCTTTTTGCCGCATGAGTGGTGGTATACCGAGAACTTCCCACGAATTTACTCTCTTCTTGAGGATGTGTTGAGGATGTTTCGACATAAACTGCAAGGTTTGCAACCTTTTACGCTTGGGTATCGAGAAGGATCCCTTTCTGGACCCCACCCTCTGTATACTGCTCGGTAGCCCATTTGAGAATTTCACCGTAAGATGCTCCATTCTTATTCATTATTGGAATTTTTTTCAATGTTTCGGCTAACTTTTCGGCTAACTTTTCGGCTAACTTTTCGGCTAACTTTTCGGCTAACTTTTCGGCTAAACACGCACATCAACGAGGTTTTTATTCAAAAGTCACCTTTAATGCAGTGTCTTCGCAATACGTGTAGTACTGATTAGAAGAGCAATCAATGGTTAGGATAGGTCTGCGACACACCGCCAATAACTTCTCATACAATCTAAAGATAATGGATGACTTCGTGCACAGACCACCAAACAGAGTATTGAGATAACGCTTGATATTGCTTTTATCAGTGAAGCGAAATAGATACATAAAGTTTGCATTGATCTTCATGTCCTTAATGTTATCAAAGCTCTGAGAGAGAAAGAACACGTTCAACTTATGATGATGACTGTACATGGTGAAGAACTTGTAGAGACACTCTCTTTGGCTGCCGTGCTTCAAACCCATCACTCTGATGTCATCAATGATCACATAGGTGTTAGGCTGGAGATCCATGTCTTCGATACACTCGGGCATGGTGCTGTAATGCTTGAAGGATTTGAGGCTTGGGAGACGATACTGATCGGCCGGCGTGTTGGAGATGACAACTATACGCTCAGGTTGCACACGTTTCAGGAGCTTGATGAGAAAGTAGGATTTACCCATGTTGCTCTGTCCCAGAAACAATACGTTTTGACCCCAGGATTTCAGAGCAGGAATGATTTCCGTGAACCAATCCTTAGACTCGAACTGAAGACCAGGAATGTGCAGCCCGTGTCGAGCAGTGGCCGTGGTCGGAACATCGTCGTTCCTTACGGGACTAGTCTTTTTCTTCCTCCCGATTTCCTGTCCAAGGAGCGAGATAAAGTCCATGATCAGATGTTGTAGGATGGACCGATGTGAGCGGAACTCATAGAAGACGGTCCTGCACTGTTAATGTTCTGTCGAATTTTTTGAGCAAATGGAGTTTCAGGACGGGTTAGGGATCTACGAGGTGCAGACAGGAACGATGAAGCTTCGTCGAGGGCACGATGTCCTAGTTTTTTGAACAAGGCCCTTCCTTGTTTCTTTATTCCTCGTGCCCTGCGGCCTTTGGAGCGAACTTGACGAGCTGGTTTCTTGGTTTTTCGAGATCCTCGTTGACGAATCTTCTTCGGTGCATGCCGACGACGACGACTTTTAGTGCGCTTCATGGCACCTGCTGAGCTTCCCTTCCTTACTCCTCTGCCGAATATTTTATCCATTACGTTGTCACCCAGTGATGCCATGGTACCCATGGCCAAGGGAGCAGCCAGGTTCGTCAGGAGTGGTATGGCCTTGGCGGCTAATCCTGGTGGAATGGCTAGACCTCCTCGGTGCATGGCAGGGTTGTAAGCTGTTTTCATTTGCGCTTCCACAATGTCTCCGGACTCTCCTCTCCCCAAAAGCATGGGAAGAAGTGTCATTCCTGCCATGGCAGCCAGGGGTCCAAGTCCACCGCGTTGCATTGCATCTTGTTTTGTCGTGGGTTCCGCCATCTGCTTTTCCATCTCATCCGGTCCAGCACCGATTAGGTTTTTCCAGAAGCTCTTTTTCCAGAAGAATCCACCGTGTTGTCGACTCGATGTTTTCAAATCACCACCGTAGACACGATGTCTGGTCTCCAGGTCACCACCTTCCATGATGCCCTTTTACTACTAGGTCGGAATTAATTCATACAACTTCGGCTTTGATACCTTCATCTTTGCTCATGGTGTACAAGTACTTGTCCATGCAGAGAAGGTTGACTTTGATCGAGGCGCCATTTTCGCTAGGTCTCCTCACGGGTGCGTTTGTCACGTCGCTAAATTGATAGTCGATGGACAGATTTCCTCTCGATCTTGGATTGTCTGTGGTCCGATCCAGATTCAAGTTGATAGGCACCATAAAGTAGTGATTGCAGTAATCTGCAGCGGTGATGGGGATTTGCGTTCCATACGTCTTACCGAAAAAGTCTTGAACCAGATTGTAGCCACGCAGGTAGGAGGATTTGTTGTAATCGTAGAAGTATTGCCCTTCAGTATCACGACTCACATCCCACCGGAATTTGAGCGGGTTGTCAAAGAGCGTCTGGTCGTTGACAGTGACACGAAGTTGACTGAGATTTGCATGAATCATGGCCAGTCTGTTCGAAGAATGCGATGCTTCACCTCCAGCCAATGCTGGCTGTGTACCATGAGTCAAATCTGTGAAGAACAGGATCATCCTGCGTGGAATGTCCGCATTGTGAAGCAGTTCCAGTGTACCAGCATCATCTGAAATGCTCTTTTGTATGAGACGAGGGCACCACGTGTGGAAATAGAGTTGTTTGGGAAGGCGTACACGATCGGTGAGATTGGGTTCCATGCGATAGGTAGTGTACACAAAGTCCAATTGGAGTAGATCGATCTCAATATCACCGACGCTCAGAGCACTGTTGGCACCACCGCCTTGATCGCTAAGCATGATGTATCTGGAAAGCTCGGATTGTGGCAGATCAAAGCGAAGCTTCACCTGTGTACCCGGGGGTAACCAAGCATCGTCCTGATTGAAAAACGGTAGGAAGGGTCTCAGCTTGTACTGAAACCGTCCAACAGCTGCACGAAGTGCATTTTCCTGAACCGTGTTGGAGAAGCCTTCGTTGGTGACAAGCTCGACGGTGGGTGCACGCCTGAGTGTGAAATCATCGACGAAATCCGGTGCTTGTGCTGCATTAGCGTTTGCAGCGTTTGTTTCGAAGGCATAGCCATGCTTACGCTTCACACCAAGTTGATAGGGCGTTAAATCCACACCTCTCAATGCTCTTTGCGGATCCAGTTTCTGTAGACCGTAGAGATCCGAGTCCACGTACTGAAGGCGTTCGCTGCTGCTTTCCATTAGACTGAGGATATGCTGAACCATTTGCATGTCGGCAACTTTACTCGATTGCGTGACCTCTGTTCCGTTGATCTCCACTCGAATGTTCTTGAACCACGAAAAGGCTGGTGACGTGGTGCACACCCATCGCGTGTAGTCTCCAGGCTGGTTATTGAGATTGTTTTTGACACTATAGCGCATTTTCACGATGAAATAGCTCTCCCCCAGAGCAATGAAATTCGGCGACGAGATGTCTAGTTCATTGTTCAGGGATGGTGGTGATCGATCTGCTGTGGAAAAGAGTCGTACTCCGCGTCTACCCTCAAGCAACGAGAGTTTCTTCTCCGTCCTGTCGAGGATGTTCTTCTGAACGATCTTCGTGTTGGTCAGGAGTCCCGTGAAGGACTCCGGAGCTTGTGGTGAGTATATCTCCTGTGCCATTCTTGCGAGTCACATTATAATAGGGGTGAATTTTTTTCAAAGATCCAATATCCAGTGTCTTGCGAAAGTCGTTCATCATCGATATCAATCGTTGATGCTCCTCGTTAGTGAGCTTCCCATCTTCAAGAGTAATGCCCAATTCCAACATGAACGAGTCTTCAGCTCTCTCCATCTGCTGCAGTTGTTCAATACACTTGACAAGCTGACGTTTGGTGTCGAGAACGTGTTTACCAATGCATGCCATGATCACACCGATAATCGTGCTACTGATGGCGATGATTCGAATGCGATGTTCTCCAGATACAACACCACTCCCTTGAAGGATATTGAGAATGGTTTGAATGAGTATGAGAAAGGACAAGATTGCAGTGTTGTAAATCACGTACTTCTCCCGGCAACGCACCTTTTCGCTCTCCAATTTCTTTCGTTTTGCTATATCCTCCACCATGTCACGCACGTGACGGACACGAACATCTGGAAGATCCATCTAAGTAGTTGTGTTGGTGATCCGAAGATCAAGGTAGACGGGATATCCGGAAGTAATGTGTTCACCGGTGTTGAATTTCAACCAGAACGAAATGCTAGTCACGTTTTCGTGTGGAAGCAGCAGTCGTTTGTCTTCTTTCCCGAACACGTAGTTATTCAAACCGTTGAGGGTTTGAATAAGAAAAGTCTTCAGCACCCTCGAATCAGTATTGTCTTCGTACTCCACAGCAGGTCCAATGAGGTCGGTGTAGAGCAGGACAAGTCTTCTGCCTTTCGTCAGATCCACAGCGAACGGGAACGTGTGAGATCCCTCGATCGTGTATGGCTTGAGAATAGTGCCCACACCCAGCACCAATGCGGGTGAGTCCTTCTTCAACAAGCACCGTTTATTCCTGGGTACCGAGACACTTATGCGGCTGGTGTGACGAGAGTAGGAAAACACAATGTCTCCGTGTCCTGCTCGTTTCAGAGTGGCATTGATAATAGACACCAAATCGTCTACATCGCTGTATGTTCCCGTCTTGATGGAAAGTCTATCCTCTTCTTCTTCTTCTTCTTCTTCTACACCATGTACCACATAGAGTTTGTTCGTTGCCTCGTCTATGTTCTCAAAGTGTACTTCAAACTGAGCCGATTCAACATGCAGGACTTTATCACGCGTATCGAGCTCCTTCACATTTAGAGTAAAGTTCGGTTTGTGCAATCCCCTGCTCACGCCCGACGTGTTGTTCGCCACTGTCAATATCACAGACATTCTGGTGTTGTGATGACACTCACTATAGATAGGTTTTATTTTTCATTTTCATCTCAAGAATGTAGTGTAGCATGTGTGCTATATATTATGTACAATCAAAGTAGCACTTTCATATATCGTAGTGTGCCATGAGTTCTGTGTGGATGCGCTGGACTGTGTGAGAAGATAAACTCTCTGCAAAGTGCAAATGACAGAACAACTTTGATGAAGTGCCGTTGAAGAATTGAGTACCACCAATGCTATAATTGCAATCTTCGATTCCATTGGTCCTGGAAAATGGGACAGTGTCTAAGTTGGAATGTATCAAAATGGAGTTTACGTATAGAGTGAATAGGCCTTCTGAATTCCGAGCGTAACTTATGACACACTTTGTACCCAAGAGATCCGTCATACTCGACACAGGTTTATCCAAAGCCGCCGATAATTGGCTGACTACAGACGAAACGGGTATGTTGAATGATGAATGGCCGGGACGCGTGAAGTAGTTGCCGCTTATGTGGGTGGCAGTGAACAACACGTACAAACTATCCAAGCTGAAATTTCCGACAGTATCGATATCGAATGCCTTCAATGCCATGTTTCTAGGGTCAGGTGCGTCCACTTGAATTACTTGGAACATTGCAAAAGACATGTTGTCGTGAAACAGATTGACGAATCGTTCTCTAATGGAAACTTCGCTGGGTTGTGTAATGTTGAGGTAGAAGTGATCGTCTCGGAACATGTCGATGCTGTTCACGTTGATTCTCTTGTCCTTCATGTCAACGAGATTTATCCCTCTGTATCTGTTTCTGCTCACCCTGGTGACGGATTCAAATCTGCTAGGATGAGAGTATATGTAGAGGTAGGCGTTTCTCCGAATGAGAGGTAGTAGATGAAACGGATCGGATAGGTTCTGATTTGATTGCGGACCCATGGGGCCTCTGGTTCCTTGAGGACCTATGGGGCCGATGATTCCTTGGAGACCCACGGGACCTCTGTTTCCTGGAGGACCGGTTGGACCGATGGTTCCTTGGGGACCCATGGGACCTGTGGTTCCTTGATCACCTTGCACACCACGTTCACCTTGTGGGCCGTCTTGCCCATCTTCTCCTCTAGGTCCAATCTCACCTTCAGGCCCGACCAATCCACGTTCTCCACGTGGTCCAACTTCACCTCTGGGACCTTCTGGACCAGGTATTCCTTGATCACCTTTTTGACCGCGTTCACCACCTTGCCCATCAGCTCCTCTAGGTCCAGTCTCACCTTCAGGACCGATCAATCCACGTTCTCCACGTGGACCAGCTTCACCTCTTGATCCATGAAGCCGACCAAACGCCTTCCATTTCGAGCTGAATTTCTTGTACACGATGAGCGTGGTTGCATCGAGATAGAAGTCACCATTTCTCCCTACAGAGTTCAGTGGCATGCCACCTCCGCTAAGCCATCCCAATCCCCGATCACCACGAGGTCCTTTCATCTTGCGCACAGTGTCCATACCAGTTTGCAATCTCGATGATGCTTGTTGGATTTCATTCTTGACCCAACCGGCAGGGACAGCACATGTCAAAGAACTATCATCGTACGCCAAATTACAGATGGAATGCTCGTTCATGTTGAGGTTAGCATCCATGGACACGGATCCATCTGTTTTCACGTGCAGCTCATCAGCTGCTATGGCTTGATCTGTGTAGCGCGTAGATCTGTTTTCCACATCTTCCACTTTGCTCTCATCGGCTTTCACCTCTTTCAGTTTCTCCACATCATGAACCAAGGTGTTTTCGGTGTCATCGTTCCCCAAAACTGATTGTATTTCGGTAATATCATTCCGCATGCTTTGCATGTGCTTGAGGGAAGTCTCCTCCCCATCACTCCTATGGAAATGCGTAGCCCAGTACGCCATCTTCACACACACACACACACACACACACACACACACACACACACACTGTTCTAATTATGATAGGAAATATTTTCTTTCTCAAATAAATCATTATGATACTCATGTGTGCTAGTGGTAATCTAATGAAGCGATGATATGTTAGCAAGAGAGAGAGAGAGAGAGAGAGAGAGTGAGAGAGCATGAAAAAAAAAAAAAAAAAAAAAAAAAAAGGGTTAGGATATAAAGTCTTTCTGATCAATCAATGTGGTAAGATAGACTAAGCATTTAGCAGATTCAAGTCCAGTGAATTGTCCGGTAGGGTGTCAGGGAGAGACGCTGCCGCCGCCACCGTTGTGTCAAACGCAATGTCAGCAGTCACGTTGTCAGCAGTGCTCCACTTCTTGAGGAATGCAATCACCAGTCGAGTCAATTCAGCCTCGGGAAGGTCTTGCACGGTGTCGTGATCCCTTTCACAAAGCCGTGAGTCTACAAACATCAGGGGGATTGCCGAAAGCCATGCCTTGAATTCGCACTTCTCCCTGTTGAAAGATATAGTGGAAGGATGCAGATAGAGCTGACACTCTTCGTTCATCGGGAAGTTGGGCACACCCTTGGTTGGCTTGAGATACAAAGCAGTCACACTCTTCCCTTGGTACATTGCAGGGAAGATGTTACTCCGTATCCTGTTGATATGTGGAGATCTCACGGCACGTCTCAAAGGTGTTGAGGTCTTCAGGAAGAATT